GCTAGAATTAAGTCTTCACACTTTAAAGGAAAACAATACAGTTGAGACTCCTTAAGTCATCCACAAGTCCAGCATACAATAACAAATTACTGGAAGCATACAGTAAATTACTAGAAGAAGTAGGAAAATGTGATTTATAATGTAGAATTAAAAACTGTAACTAAAAACATACCTTGAGATGATGCTGATTTTAGAATAAGAGCATTAATGTCTTCAAAAAAATATCATAGTCCTATGGATGAGGAATCTCAGAAGAATGAAATTTTTTTTTTTAAAGAGGAAATTCAAGGACTAAAAGAACATAGTATCTGAAATGAAAAAATTTACTTGGAGACTTAAAAGCAGACTAGAGTTGGCAGAAGAAAAGCTCATTCACCTAGAAGACAGATCAGTAAAAGTTATTTGGAAAAAGGGGAAATTTGTTATAGGATGCCTTTAAATAATGAACAATAGTTAAAGGCTTAAAATATAGTAATTTTGTAAAAGAAAAGATGAGAAAATAAGCAGAGCCTCAGTGCCTTGGGGACAGTATCAAGTTGTTTAGTATACATATAATTGGAGTTCTGAAAGAAGTGGGGAAGGAGAGGAATGTGGCAAACAAAGTTGTGAAAAAGTAATGGTTGAAATTGGTGAATAATATCAACCTACAAATTTAAGAAGTCAAGTGAATCTTAGATAAATCTGAAGAAAACACGCCTAAGCACACAGTCAGTTTGCTGAAGTTAACAATAAATAGAAAAGGAGGTGGGCAGGGGAAAGAAAAGGGAATATTTCATACCCAGAAATAGTAGGAATGGTGACTGACTTCTCAGAAGCAGTGGAATAACATATTTAAGAGAAAAAATAAAAATGAAAGAAAATTAAAATTAATGTAATAATAAGCACCTTAATCTAGAATTCTATGTGCAAGCAAAAATATCTCTAAACAGTAGAGGTGAAGTAAGGACATTTTCAGAACAATGAAAGTTGAGAATTTTATTAGTGAGGGAAAGTGTTTCAGAAACCTTCCAGCAGACTTCCCCAGAGGTTCCATTATTTGCTTGGATGCCCAGGCTGCAGCAAGGAAGGCTGAGAAAGCAACTGCTTGCATTCTCATCCTTCCGAGAGTGAGATTGTTGTTATTAAGGAACAGGGAGATCAGGACAAAGAGAAATCACTTGTAAAGGAAACTGACATGTTTATTACATATGATTTAAGTAACTTTTATTATCAGAAAATAACGTTATTTGGTTGGTAGATACAAGTAAAGCGAAAAATGAGTCGTTTGCTGTGAGGCTGGCCATTTACCTATTTCTTTTTGTCCTTTTTAATTATGAGATGGGTCTTCCTCTGTTACCTAGGCTAGAATGCAGTGGTGCGATCTCCACTCACTGCAGGCTCAGTCTCCCAGGCTCAAGTAATCCTCCCACTTTAACCTCCCAAGTAGCTGGAACTGGAACTACAGGCAAGAGCCACCATGCCTGGCTTTTTTTTTTTTTTTTTTTTTTTTTAGGTATCCCTATGTTGCCCAGGCTGATCTTAAACTCCTGGGCTCAAGCAATCCTCCTGCTTCAGTCTTGCCAAAGTGCTGGGATTACATGCATGAGCCACCATGTGCAACTTACATTTTCTTGGAGAGCTTTATAGAAAACCTTTGGAAATCATCGCTGTGTTCCTTCAAAAGTGTGCGTTAAATATCCCAGACACCATGCTACCACTGGACATATAAAGATAAATAATACATCTTGACATAAGTCTGTTGGGGAGATGAGCAGGCAGCTGTCACTGGTTTTCAGCACCCATCTTATAGTCAGCATGTCATCTTTTTCAGAGAGTGAATGATTTTTCTTTAGAAACTCTGGTTAGGAAACAATTAATTCAGTTGAGTTTCGCGGGAAATGTTTCTCAGAATAGTAGTAACAGCATCGATGTGTGCGGCTGTTACTTATTGAGGGCCAGGTGCTATCTTGAGTGCTTTCAAATCTTCTGTCAACCTTTGGTGTTAAGCATTATCATTCTGATTTTTATAAATTAGAAGACTACATTTATGTAAGGAACTTACTTAAGGATACTCAGTCAGTAAGGGACAAAGCTAGGACTCAAATCTAGGGCAGCCTGACTCTAGGGTCTATTCTTAATCAGATACACCGTTGATGAAGGCTGACTTACATTGTCTTGATTATAAAGCATATTAACTTTTCAATTGGTTATAAGTTGTCTCACAAACAGGTGTTCTTGGAAGAGTTTCATGTGTTCTGTTTATTCATGTCTGTTCAAATAAAAGTATTCTCATTGGAGAACCATTCGGTAGAATGTAAATGAAAATTATTCAAGTCACCTGCAAGAGAATGTTGACTCTTGTTTGTTAATTTACTCATATAACCTCTAGAATAAGTCAAGCAATTAAATTTTCTAGTAATTGTACAAGACTAGAAATTAGAACCGGCCACTGCCAATATGCTGTACCCCTTGGTAAGCTGCTTAATTTTTCTAGCTCCAGTTTCCTCTCTGGTTTTAAAAGGACAAAGGGAATTGGGTTAAATTATCTGAGCTTCCTTACATATTAAAATTAAGTCAAACATTTCCAGATTATTGACTTTTGGGTACTTGAATGATAGGCATAAATATTTAATGAACAAATTAGGTTCACTGAAATTCAGAGAACTTAGACTGCCCTTTTACTGTAACTCCATGTAAGCAGCTTCTAATTTGCATGAGTCAGAAAAGATTTTCCATTTAAGTAGAGTTGCAGAGTGATTAATTGAAGATAACATTCTGACTGATCCCTTGATAACAGGAGTTTGAACTAAGAGGTCTTGTGTCTTTTTTCTGTGTAGACAGAGGGGAATGACCAAAATATTTGTGAAGAGCTGAATCAGAGGTTTGGTGGAAGAAATAGTAGCTTATATATAGGGAACAGACATCTGATGGCATCATACTTAGCTATCTTGTTCATTCAGAACTATGATAGTTCCTTCCAAGTTCTAGGAACTAGAAAAGTGCCAGGGGGCTTTTTAATGGGCCACAGTTGAAGGAGCTGCATATAACTTTGGCAGTCATTCCTTTGGTCAGTACTCAGTCATATGGCCACACTGCAAGGAACATGGGAATTATGTTAAACTGTGTGCTCATGAAGAAGGTTAGAGCAAGGTACATAGAAACCTGGGAAAACTAAGCAAGTAGAAAAAAATCAAGGCAGTCATTAAATCTGGGAAAAATAAACAGCTGTACAAAAAGGGGATTAAAATAGACATCATAATGGCTAACATTTATTGTCTACTTACTGTGTACCAGGTATTATTCTAAGTCCTTACATGTTTCATTTATTAATTTTCTTAAACTTCTATGAGATAAATACTATTACAATCCTCACTTCACAGATGAATATTGATTTCACAAAAAATGTTGATATCACTGTACCTATTGGGGAATAAGAACCTCATTAAATATTCTAATATGGTAGCAAATCTAAGTGATGTAGAAATAATGTCTATGTTATAAACTATGTAAAATTAAACAGTCAAAGCAACATAAGCATACTGTTTGAAAACATGCAGGGAAACATCAGTGGAAACAATTTAAAAAGTTGGAACCCCTCAGGATGAACAGTTCAAGTCTGAGGTATGGAATTGCTCTCTTACAATTGCACTTTCTAAACTATGTTGATAAATAGATAAGTATCTGGTACGCAGGAAATTATCAAGAGAAATAAAATGAAAACAAATCAGTAAAAGGTGATTTGGTTATTTATGTGTAGAGGTCATCATTTATACCTTCTTTTAATATAGAACAGTGATGGTTATATAAATTACCAAATAATGGAGTCTTACGCTGAAAGGGACCTAAGACCAAATTTCTAGGCCTGAGTTTATCCTAAACTTTATTGGCCAAGTCACTTAACCTTTGGGGGGGCTTTGCCTTTTTCAAATTTTAAGAGAATGTTGAACTAGAGATGATCTCTTGCTGTCACTTTAAATTCTAAAGTTGCATTATTCTAGATGTTAGACTAATTTTTTATTTTTTAATAATAGGTCTTACTAGGTCTGAAACTACAGCCCTCAAGGCTAGTTTTGGATGCAACATGGCCATTTACTCACAACCAATCTTTTTTTGTTTGTTTTTTTAGCTAGTATTGGCATACGTTATGTGATTAGTTATATATTAGTTATATTATTTCTGTGATTTTCTCAGTACCAGTTTAAGTACTTACATAATTTGTCATTTTTGTCCAACAGGATTTTTTTAACCTGTTAAAGTATAATATAGAGAAAAGTTCCTAAATTATAAGTGTGTGCGTACCTCAATGAACTTTTACAGTGAGCACATCCTAATTACCAGTACCAGATACTGGATCAAGAAACAGAGCATTACCATTATTCCAGAAGCTCCTTGCAGTTGCCTCCCTCCAGGGGTCAGCCATTATCCTGACTTCTAACCTCATAGATTAGATTTTGAGTTGTATAAATGGCATCTGGTAGTTGTGTAAAATCAAACATCTAGACACATATATAGATTTACATTTATCTTATAAGTAGGTAAGTAGTAAACATATATATACATATATATCCATAAATCTTTTTGCTTTTAATCTTTTGGTTTGGGGCAGGTTTGTTTCTGTTTTTTGTTTTGTTTCTGGCTTCCCAAGATGACACATTTAAATTTCTTGAGATTTCCTACCGATAATGATTATATGAAAAGCATATGCATTTATTATTCACTTACTACAGTACTTTTAAGTACATAGTCATAAAAGCATACTTATCTAAAATGAAACTTTTATCCTAGGTCCAGTGGCATTGCAGAGCACGGATGGTTGCAGGAGCCAACTTTTACATTGTTGGACGAGACCCGGCTGGCATGCCTCATCCAGAAACAGGGAAGGATCTTTATGAGCCAAGTCATGGTGCCAAAGTGCTAACAATGGCCCCTGGTTTAATTACTTTGGAAATAGTTCCCTTTCGAGTTGCAGCTTACAATAAGAAAAAGAAGCGTATGGACTATTATGACTCTGAACAGTAAGTCTTACATTCTCTGTACAAATCTTTGAAGTTTTTTGTGGTCTAAGCTGCTCCCAGGAATTTAGTTTACTGTCTAATCTCTACAACTGTACTGATGACAGGCTTTGTTGTATCCATGTCAGAGAAAGGTAAACCCAGAAAACTAATTTCTCAATATTCCAGGAATTAGAAGTAGAAATAAAACTTGAATCTAGTTTCATGGTTTCAGGAATTTTGTTGCGAAGTCCATAAAGGCAATAATGTTATTTCTCTCCTTACTACGTCTGCTGTAGCTTACTGAACATAAGTGGTTCGAGAACTTAGTGATGATTACTCTGGTAAGCCCAGGGAATCTATGTATAGAGAGAGAGTCTAACTAATATTTGTGCAATCACTATGTGACTGGCACTGTCCTAATTATTTACAAGTATTAAATTATTTACAGGTTGAGTATCCCTTGTATGAAATGTTTAGGACCAGAAGTATTGATTTTGAATTCCTTCAGATTTAGGAATATTTGAATGAGGTATCTTGGGAATGGGACCCAGTTCTAAACATGAAATTCATTTATATTTTAAATATACTTTATATGTATAGCCTGGAGGTAATTTTATACAATATTTTACATAACTTTGTGCATGAAACAGAATTTGTGTACATTGAACCATCAGAAAGCAAAGGTGTCAAAGATGGGATTTTCCACTTGTGTCTTGTTGGTGCTCAAAAATTTTCAGATTTTGGAGTATTTTGAATTGTGGATTGGCGTGCTCAACATATATTTTCCACAGTGATCTCTAAAGTAGGTGTGGTTAGCTCCATTTTATAGGTGAGTAACCTGAGGCATAAAAAGGCCAGATAACTTGTACAAGGTCACAGGACTAGTAAATGACAGCTGAGCAGCTGAGCCCAGGCAGTCTGGTTAGAAAGCCTGTGCTCTTAATTATTAACACCACAACTTTTGTCTTCAGAGATCTTAGGAAGAGCAAAAAACCCTAAGCTTTTAGTACAAATTATTGGTAGTATTGAACGTTGTCTTTGTCCGTTTTCACAGTGCTATTAAAAACTACATGAGACTGGATAATTTGTACAGAAGAGGTTTAATTGACTAACAGTTCATGTGGCTGGGGAGGTGAAGGAGAAGCACAGCACGTTTTACATGACCACAGGAGAGAGAACAAAGCAGGGAAGTGCCACACTTTTAAATGGTCAGATCTCGTGAGAACTCAGTATCACGAGAACACTGTGGGGGAAACTGTCCCCATAATCCAGTCACCTTCCAGTAGGTTCCTCCTGTGACATGTGAGGATTACAATTCAAGTTGAAATTTGGGTGGGGACACAGAGTCAAACTACATCAAACATATACAAGGGGACTTCAAAAAGTTTGTGGAAAAATGGAATTAAAACATAAGAATAAAAATGTAAACTTTACTTCTCAATGTAAGTTCCATCAAGTTCGAGACACTTTTGTGAATGATGATACCAGTCATTTAATCTGTTCCTGTAGAATGAGGGTGTCTGGATACCTGGAGACTAGGGGTAAAAAAGAACTGAGTCCCTGCTAATTTAACCATGTCAATGTAATCTTTTTTGGTTGAAGAAAAATGGGTGCCCTTTAAAGACTTTTAAAGATTAGGAAATGAAAAGAAGTCAGAAAGAGCCAAATTAGGATCTTAGAGGTGGATGCCTAATAATGCCCCATTGAAATTCTTGCAAAATTGACCTTGTTGGATTAGAGGAATGAACAGGAGCATTGCCATGGTGGAGGACTTTCTGGTGAAGCTTTCCTGGGCATTTTTCTACTAAAGCTTTGGCTAACTTTCTCAAAACATTCTCATAGTAAGCAGATGTTACTGTCCTTTGGCCCTCCAGAAAGTCAACAAGCAAAATGCCTTAAGCATTCCCAAAAAATTGTTTCCATAACCTTTGCTCTTGACTGGTTCACTTTTACTTTGACTGGACCACTTCCGCCTCTCGGTAGTCATTGCTTGGTTGTGCTTTATTTTCAGGATTGTACTCGTAAAGCCATGTTTTATCTCCTGCCTCAATTCTTGGAAGAAATGCTTCAGGATCTTAATCCCACTTGTTTAAAATTCTCATTGAAAGCTTTGCTCTTGTCTGTAGCTGATCTGGGTGTAGTGGTTTTGGCACCAGTCAAGTGGAAAGTTTGCTCAACTTTAATTTTACAGTCAGAATTGTGTAGGCCAAACCAATTGAGATGTCTGTGGTGTTGGCTTTTGTTTCTACTGTTAATTGTTGGTCTTCTTCAGTTAGGGCATGGTCAAGATTAATTTCTTCCTTGAAAATTTATGTGGTCTGCCACTATGGGCATCATCTCTAACATCATTTTATCCCTTCTCAAAATGTAAACTGCAGATTTCTTTGGGACATTATCCCCATAAACTTTTCCTGAAGTATCAGTGATTTCACCATTCTTTTACCCGAGCTTCACCATAAAGTTGATGTTTGTTCTTGCTTTAGTTTTAACAGAATTCATATTGCCCTGATAGGGGCTCTTTTCAAACTAATATCTTATCCTTCTTAGTGCCTCAAACTAGATCCTGTTCAGACATGAAAAAGTGTGAATTTATTTTGGTGAAAAATTGAAATCCATGCATAGTTTTTTTTTCATAATGAACATTTTCCAGGAAACTTTTGATGGCTCCTTGTATCAATCTCCCTTTGGCTGACAAAATTATGTTACCTTTCATCTATAGGTAGTATACTCTGTAAGTTTAAAGTGGTAGTGTGAAGCTGTAAACTCTGAAGTTATGGGTTCTAGCCCTGTTCTTGCTACATAGCTTGAGAGTGCTGTCTTCTCTTGTTTCCTTGTCTCTGGAATAATTGGCAGTGGACAAGACGATTCCCTCTTAGCTCAAAATGTGTAGCCCTTTGCATGATCTATAGCACCTAGTTATTTTTGCACCTTAGTAGATACTTGCACATATGAATTGTTTTGTGTTTGACCTTTACTTAATATACCTGCTTTTTTAGTACAAATCACAATCTACATTCAGCAAGCAAACAGATAATTCAACAAGGAAAACAGATTTTTTTATTTACATTTTTACCAGTGTCAGCTCTACTGACATGCATTAATTGGAAATTGACTATGGCCTGGTAACCTTTAATCTGAAAGCTGCCATGCTTTGCCATGATACTTCATAGTTGGTTCCCCATTTAAGAATAATGCAGCTCTGACCCTGTGTCCTCATTTGTATGGCTCATTTTGTGATAATAGGGGCAGAAGATAGAAATAAACCTTTAAAAAATTTAAAAAATCATTCTCTTGTTTCTAAAATGGACATGAAGTTTGTTATTTGATTTATTTGAAATAAATGATAAGTTGTCTGGAGAAGGAAATACTATTATTACCAGTAGAGATTGGGGATGTGTGGTTGCTCTTTAATGACAGAAATAATTCCGGAGACAATACACACATTTAAATGATAAACTTTTCTGAGAGATCAACTGTAGCTAAACTATAGGAAAGTCTTATTAGACTTTCATAACTGGGGTAGGCAAGTGTAAAAGGACTCCTGACTGTTCCCATATAATTCAAGACAGGAGCTATTCTAGTTTATATTTTCTGAAGATCTGAAATGTGGCCCAGATTCCGGTATCCTTGTGAACCACACCAAAAGAAAAATTTGCAACAAACTAGAACATTTTACCCTTGTACAAAATTAGGTTTGTCAACATTTAGAAATAGTTCTAAATCATGTGGGCTTTTTTTATTTTTTATTTTTTGCCTTTAAAAGAAATATGTATCTATATGTATGTATGTGTATATATATTTATATATGTACACTTAGTACAATTTCACTGTCTAAAAAGTGCAACTGTAAAAGCGGTGTGCTGAGAGTTGTAAAAGGACTTTTCTACCAAAAGGATGCCTTAAAAATTTTTTAAGAAAAGAAAAAAAATTATAGTAAACTTTGAACTGTTTTACCACAAAAAAGGTCATTGAAACTTTAAAATATAAATTGATTATTAAAAGAAGTAAAAAAGTTTCGGTACAGTTCTGCCCTTTTATAGTAGGCCACTGTCAAAAATTCTAATTTAGTCTGGGGAGGGGCCTTATACATTTGTAATTCTTTTAAAAGCCCCCCACCCTAAAACCACTAAAAAAGCGTAGCAGTACCTTCCTACAGATCTATAAAACATACAATGTCAGGTGAAATGCTGGGCCCAGCAACCTTTGCTTCTCACCTGGCATGAGATTTATTTATTCAGTTTGTGTACAAGTAATTGTGAACATATTCTTGTTCTGAGAGTTAGGAAAAACTTCCTTAAGTCACTAATACAATGGCAAGGGAGAGCAAGGAGAATGAAATAAAATTATTCTGCTAGTGGCTAAATGCTTAAAACTTAGGTGAATTTCCATTTTGATGAGTTAAGAAAACAAAACCAAACTAAAAAGAATTGAGCTTTTCTTTTACACTTCTTGTGCCGAAATGTTTCATTACTGTGGTCTCTTTGCATGATCAGCTGGTTTAATCACACACAGGACCCTAAACCCCATCTGTATGTAGTTGACTGATGTGCTGGTAAGCCTTTGATAACTTTGATGTTTGGTTAAATCTGTGTAGTATTGCTTTAAGTCTCTCTTTTAATCATTCAAAAGCTAAATAATTACATCAGTTCTTATAAGATTTTCCAAAGATGAATTCTGTATTAGTTGCATGAGTGGCTCATTTTCTTGGAATTTTTTGGGGGTTACTAAATTATAATAAGTAATAACTGGGGAAGCTTTAAAACTGCCTTAGTTTTCTAACTTTTTGTGTTTGTGTTCAAAAATAATTAAGTTGATGGTAATATGTGGAAAGTGATTAAAATTTTGTTTCAATGGGCTTTGATGTAGTGAGAAAACAGTTATTAATTATGCACAGATGAGGTTGTCTTTTGTTTGATTAATGGATGTTAGCGCCAGCTTTTGTGTAATTAATGATTTTGTGTGTGTGTGTGTGTGCTTCTTCTTTGATTAAATACCAGTATAAGACAAGCCTTAGGAGAAAAGAAACAAACTTCATGAAGATTTCAGGCAAAACATTATTGATAGGAATTATAATAAATCATCTGTTTATATTTAGAAAGTTAAGGAGGTTCAAAGTAGCCATAATAGGCACTAAAGGAAATTTAGTTTTAGGACTGTGAGATTAAAGTCCATTATTTCAGATATTGCAAATAAACTTTTAGAGGTAATTCAGTTATCTTATTTGTATTTTTTTTCCTCTTTTATAAAGTAAGTCTTTGTATTAGGGTAGATAGATACAGAATTATTCAGATTAGTGAAATAAACTCAAAAAGAAGGCAGAGTAATATATGAGTGAGAGTGCCTTGTAGAAACGGGTAAATGAATGGGTAGGTGGACAGAAATGTTTGTTGTCTGGTTATTTCCACATTTTCATTAGAGGATTACTTTCATGTTTTTGATGCCAGAGTATACTTTAAATCATTACTATTAGTGTCTTTTTTTTTTTTTTTTTTTTGAGATGGAGTCTTACTCTGGAATTCAGCGACACGATCATGGCTCACTACAACCTCCACCTGGCGGGTTCAAGCGATTCTCCTGCCTCAGCCTTCCGAGTAGCTGGGACTATAGGCATGTGCCACCATGCCCAGCTAATTTTTTTTTTTTTTTTTTTAATAGAGACAAGGTTTCACCATATTGGCCAGGATGGTCTCGATCTCTTGACCTTGTGATTTACCTGCCTTGAGCTCCCAAAATGCTGGGATTAGAGGTGTCAGCCACTGCGCCAGGCTATTAGTGTCATTTTTAAAAAACACCCTAACTGTAGGCATCCTTCAAGGCTTTTTCAGATATACTTTCCATAGGAGAGCTCATCTGTTCCTGTGGTTTCTGTGGGGGTGATTTTTAAACCTGTGCATTAGTGTTTCCCAGTTGTATTAGTTTTTGTTGTTGCATAACAAAGCACCATTTAAAATAACACCCATTTATTACCTCATGCATGGTTCTTTAGGTCAGAGGACTGGATGTGCTTGACAGGGTTCTCTGGACAGGTTGGGTTTGTATCTGAAGGCTCTGAAAAGAATCCACTGTCAAGTTGAATCTTGTTATTAGTGGAGTTCAGTTCCTTCTCGTTACAGAACTGAAGTTCTCGTCTTCTTAATGGCTATCGGCTGAGGATTGCTGCTCTTTCTAGAGGACACTTTTGAAGGCCCTCCATCTCAGCAACAGAACCTCCCTTATGTTGCATCCCTGTCATATCTCAGATCTCTCTGACTTCCCTTCTGCTACAAGACAGGAAAATTTGAGTGATTAACATAGGGCCACCCAGATAATTTTGTTGTTTTAAGGTCAACTGATGAGTAACCTTAATTGTATCTGCAAAATCTCTTTTGCCATGCCATAACATAGCATGGTAATAACATGGGGGGCAAAGGTCATTGGGCCATGTTAGAAATCTGCCTCCCACACTAGTGAACATTTCTGCATAGATTTCTTGCTTCTTCGATTTCTTTCTAAATTTATTTCTTCTTTACTTTTACCCTCATAATATCCCCACATTTTACGTTTCTTTAATTACTTCTTATTCTCACTATATAGAATCTTAAAGTCCTATATCCTTTTCCCTCACTCGTTGTAGCCAGGTCTTATCAAGTTTACCACTGAAACGTGTGAATTTCTTCCTTTCCCTTTCTTGCCACGATCTTTGCAATGCACAGGTATTTCTGTTAGAGTATTGGGAAACTGTCTTTTCTGTTACTTCATAAAATGCTTATTTTTATTAATTTTGATGTTTCTTCTGAATACGTTTAGAGTCTGACCATAACTGCATGAATACCAATTAGTCTCATCCTGTATTTGTCAATTTTGCATTTTATTGCTTTATGATCATTAATAGATAAGACCTAATTTAAACTCTATTATATTGTCTTCTAGTGTGCATTTGAATCATAATTAGGTATAGTATAAGCTATAGTGTGTGTGTGTGTATGTGTGTGTATATATATATATATATTTGAAAATCAAATTATGTGTTTTATATATACTGGATCTTGTATTGAGGTCAGTATACTCAATTGAAATTATCACAAAACTTTGACTTCGGCATTATTCATTTATTAACTTCTTATGGAACCTTTACTATTTGCAAGCCATTGCTAGATTGTAGGCACTATATCTGGAAACAGGCAGAGACTGTCGTTGCCCTCATGAAATTTAAATTCTAGGAAAGAAGACAGACAGTAAACCACTGACAATACAATTAAGGGTGGTAAGTACTTGGCAGAAGACTGTGGGAAACTCAGCACTTGCTTGACCAAGTCTCAGGTATCGGGGATAGATTTCTGGAGCAAGTGACATTTGCACTGAACTCCAAAAGATGAGTTGGCACTCCTTTGGTGAAGAAGGGAATAATAGTATTCTGGACAAAGGGATCCATGCATGTCAAGGTCCTGGGTGAGAAGGATCATAGAGGGTTGAACAGAATGAGGTAGAACAGAGTCAAAGGATGATGATGAGATACTCAGGGGCCAGAAAAAGCAGTTCCTGAAAGTCAGGAGCTGGAGTTGATAACGAAGTTTTTAAAAGATGGTTGTGTAACTGTGAATTGGTTATATAAAATTCAGGTTTCTGTCAAAAAGGGAGTTTAGATTTACAGATGGCCTTTCTGAAGAAACTGAAAATGCTAGATTAAATATTTTCATAAAAGTATTATGGATTTGACAAGATGATGATAGGAACTGTGAGGCCAAAACCAGTAAGTGAATGCTAAAACTTCCAATAAGCTGAGTGTTGAAGCTACTTTTGCCCTGATAAACCTAACAAACTTGAGAGTATTGATTTTCAATGCCTCATCATGTAGGTGGAGACAGAAAATACAACTCTGCTCCTGATCAAGATGGAGAGCCTAACAGGAGAAACTCCCATGCAGTTGAGACTCCTTCCCACCTTAAATATAAGGGGGAGCCTGAAATGAACCCAGTTCCTTCTCCTCTTCTAGGAGACTGTGAGCAGAACATTGTGCTTAGGCTCGAAAGTTGGAAGCTCTGCCCAGATGGGCTGAACTTACATTACCTGGGTGATATTAAAACAAACAAAAAACCCTGAAGCCATCCAGTTAGTTTTAGGTGGTTCTTAACTAGGCATTCCTCTAAGCATTCAGCAGAAGCAAACATAAACTCTTCCTAGAGCATCACATCAGTGTACTAGGCATCAACTTACTCTTATAAATATTTGTGTATACTTAATGAACAGTTTTAGTCAAAAATGTCAAAGGATACAAGGAAACAAAGCACCATAACAAGAAAAAAAAGGAAACTATAGTCAGCAGAAGCAGAACTACAGAGACTTCACATGTTAGAATTACCAGATATAGATTACAAAATCACTATACTTGTAGTGTTTGTAAAACCAAGGAGAAGTGTGAAACTATTCACATGGAACATAAAAGTTATAAAAATGACTTAGCTTAGAAAAGAGAAAGGGAAGTCAGTGTGTAGGCATGTGTCAGCATCATATGGGTGTTGCACTGGGGGGATTGGAGGAAGTGGTTTGACTTCAAGGCATCTTCAGGAGGCACAGTCAGTAGAACTTGTAGTATAATTGTTATATTAAAGGCTGTTTTCTTTTTTCTTATCAAATACATCTACTCACCTCCCCTATTTCAAAGCAAACAAAACAACACCAATTTAGTTCAGTATCCTCCTTTGCAGTTCCACAGGTAATGGGCAGGGAGTTTTAATGGAAAGAACTGTAGGTGTAAAGGTGCGATGGAATGAGTGAAGGGTTTGTGTTTCACACACCATCATTATTGTGTACAATTTTAAGTTTTCTGTAACAGCAAATTTTTTGACTCCGAAAGTGTTCTGATCTCAAGATTCTGCTTAAGCAGTTAATAAACAAAAGATTTTGTGTATATTGCTCCCTTTAGAATATTTTATCTAACAATAGGAGATGATACTTTTCTCCCTAGTTCTTATGGTAAACTTTCTTTAATCAGTAATAAAACAGATGACTTGGACATGTGCATTATTTGTTTTATCCTTTCATAAGCCCTTGTTTTGAAACTATTCTAGAGAGGTGAGATACTTACATTTTCTAGAAATAAAATAGAAGTGATTGTTTCCCTTAATGGCTAATACTAGGAATGACAGATAAGACACCATTATTATGGTATTTTTGTTATAAAACCCAGCAATATCCATATGCTGCCTTTAATCAACTGTATTATCTGGGAGAAAGAAGGGCAGGGGAAGGGGAGATATGCATAGAGCAGAAAACAGCAATTAAAGACAGAGCAGTACTCTTGGGCTTCGGCCCCAGTGTAGAATTCAAGTGAGCTGGAATTGACTGCATGGGAGATGTATTTTGTTAATGCCAGGAAGCCAAAGTAGCTTTGAACCCAAAGAAGGACAAAGGTCATTTTCTCTCTCTCAAAAGCCCTGATTAGATTTGACCACTCTTGTAGGGCATCAGTACTAGAGAAAAAATAAAAAGAGCAAATAAGAGTTTCTGAAAGAATATTTTCCCCAGTGCATAGGTAGAGCGATCCAGGTCTCCCCATAGAGCAGTACGCATGCTCTTGATGTCCTCCAGTGGAAGGAAAATAGGTCCCAGTCATTTCTGCTCACTCTTTAAAAACCTCTCTGCCTGGAAAGTTTCTTCTTTGTGGCTAAGTGGAGTGCCCTGATTTGGATGCATCCTTGGGTGAATAAGGGGTAAATGGATGGAATAAGTGCCCGCGAGAGGTCACCCAATTGAAATGATGTTTGAGAAAAATTACGAGAGCATTTAAAAAGAGAAAATTAACATGTTACCACCAGTATTTTTTGTGTGTTTTGCTTTTATTCTCTTTATACATTCATTTAACACAGTTGTGCATAGCTGAGTTTACAGTATAATAGCATTTTATGTCCTGCTTTTTAATTTACTTTTCATGAGCATCATTCCATGCTACTAGAAGTTCTTTGCAATCATTTTAATGGCTCTTTTTCAGTATCTGGTACCATGCTATGCTGTAAGTCTCACTGGTTGTAGTTGAATAAAGAAGTTTATGAAGGCTCACCCCTGCTCTGGAAGAACCTTCCTGACAGCACACTCGTGTCCTTAGGTATCATTGAGGGCTGGTAGCATTCATCTCCTTGTCCCATCTCTTCCCACTCTTTTTAAAAACACAGAAGTTTTTCTGTATCTGTACCATAATCTGGCCATGATGTTGCCTTAGGCTGTAGATCTGAGCTATGTCCAGTTATTGACCTTCTTTCTTACTGTAAAGAGGTCTAGGAGGAAATAACTGTGAAGCTATGTGCCTTACAAAGTGATGTTTTGTTCTGTTATCTGCTTTTCTTTTTTCCTGTGACTTTGAGATCTCTTTTTTCTTTTCTGCTCCTTTAGGGTGGCGGTAAAATTTACATTTTATAAAATTGTCAACCCAAGCTTGCTTTCTTATTAGCATACCCATTATTAGGGTTTCTCAATCTCAGGAGTATTGGCCTTTTGGGTCAGATAAATCTTTGTTCTGGAGAGGCTGTCCTATGCATTATAGGATGTTTGCCCTGGGCAGGGGAAGAGGATGGCAAAAATCATCTGTTGAGAAATTGAGATGATTTTGCAGTACACTTTCGGACAACCCTGGAAGTTCATTATTTGACAATATTGATAGGTACTTCACTCTAGCCTTTATTTAAAAGACTGGAGTGCTGGGAGGAAAACATGACAAATGAATGACTTTTATTAATTAGATTTTAGATAATTCAGTTTTTCATGTCTTTCAGTTGGTCTTTGGTTTGAAAATAAAAATTGTTAAATATGTATGATGTCAAACAATGCTTTTTAGTCCTTGAACAGAAAGCCATAAATGTTTATCTGATTTTGAAGAGAATTTTTAACCCCAGTCTTAAGAATGCTTAGTGTTTTGATGTACTATGTTTGACGTAACCTGCTTTCAAGTTAGATTAAAAAGTTAATTAGACTTAAAATAGATCACTTATAAGTTACCACTATTATTTTCAGTCCTGTCAAAGAAGACATTTTCTTTTGCTTCTCTAAATTGCTTGTTGCCTATTTAGCACTTTTAAAAAGCTGGTCTAATTGAATATGAACCTTCAAAAGAGACACTTGAAGGGCCATCTGCTGACCCCAGCTCTTGTCCGTATGAACAACTTGTAATAGTGGCTCTTATGGCCATGTATGTTGAGTGAGAAACAGCAGATGGCTGTAAAGATTTAAAATCTTCAACAAGTGGCCGAGAGTCATTTCTGCTTTGGAGTTAGTCAAGATGCTGGCCACATGTGGTTAGTATGTTATGAAGGGTTTCACATTCTCTGCTCATTTGGGGCATTTCCTCTCTCCTTGCTGTTATAACCTCTTCTCTCTCTCTCTCTTTTTTTTTTTTTTTTTAAGAGCTAACATTCTGTCTGCTGTAGATTAGAAGAATCTGTAACCAAGTGGTTTTGAGAAGGAAGAAAGCAAACATACTTGTGTTTCTTTTTCCAGGTGCCATGGAAGATTGGTTAATTAGTGTAATGAAATGCCCCTAATTAGAATTTATTTGTAGTAAAAACCCAAGGTCCCTTATTTAGTAGCCTTTCCTGCTACTGGCGCATTCCTGATTACTTGCAGGTAAAGTTCAGAGATAATTTTAGCTCATTCCAGAAATTCTTCAGTCTTTTTTTTATTTAGTTATTTCTGTAAAATAATGTCCATTTAAAGATGTGCTTATAAAAAATATGATTTGATTATGGTGACTCTTGTGTTGACTCCTTGAACCTAGATTCTGATAAAAAGTTAAAATCTTTATGTGAGAGATAGAAATATAAGTATGAGGCAGAGGAAAATGTGTTTTCCGTAGCCAGGGTGGAGTGGAACCACCACCATGTGGAAGCAGAAAGTCCCATTCCGTGTGATGAAGAAATGCTTATGGCATGCAGGGCAGATGGAGTGTGAAATAGCTTCAGGAAAAGAGGTGCCCAGGGACCTTGGTTTAAAATTGCAATTTCAGAAGGAATGCAAGCAAACTTCTGGATTTCAGACAGTTTGGCATTCTGGGGAAAGAAAGGACTTTAATTGGTCTGGCGTTTTTCCTTTAATCAAAAAGTTAGGCAGAGCCATCCTGCAAGCTCCTCTCTTCTTTTTCATTGCTTTCAAGAACAAGCACTTTATGCAACTGATAGGTTTTTCCTTTTTGAACCCAGAGTTTAAAATTTACATGACCAGAAAGCTCTAGCATCGTAAGTTTTCACAATGAAGCTTACTTAGGGAGCTGATTAAGTGGACCTCCTAAGGAACTGAAGCACATTCAAGTCACTATTTTCTCAAATTATTCTTGACCAAACAAGTTTTTAATTTTACATCTGGTTGGAGCAAGCATTTTTAGACATAGTTGGAAAGCTATCTGGACCCCTCTATAGCTACTCAATTCCCTTAACTTCCTGTCGAGGCTCTGCTCCCTAAGCCTTGTCCTGAGATATAACCTCTCTGGCCTGGAGATAAAGTCAGCTAATTGCATTGATGGATTATTTTCTATATTCATTTGCATTCAGATTCTCCTTACCCTCACAAGGCAACTTGACATCTTTAGTGAGAAAATTGAAACCATCTTTCATTAACCACCATTTCCAACACCAAATCATTTCTCTGTCTCTCGCTCCACCCTCACACCTTCTCTTTCCTCATTTCATCAGCCTGACTCTCCTCCTTGTCAAAGCGCCTCTCCTTGTTTCTTCACCCTGGGCTTCCTTCTCTATCCTATATTTTCTCGTTTCTTCTCCTGTCACTCATCCTTCTCCCTTTCCTTGTTCTTGCCACTTATTTTCTCCTGCCTATATAACTCGTTAAGCCATCTCTCTTTTCTTTAAAAAAAAAAAAAAAATCACATCTGAACTCCACTGTGTATCTCTGTCATTTCACTGCTCCATCTCTCATCATCTGTTAAAACGCTTCTATTAAGGAAGATTTAAATTCTGATTTGTAAATTCAGTGTTTTGTTCCCCGCTGTGGTCATCTTCCTAAGCCCTCTGTGGCCTTACCATTTGTGTTTCCCTTCTTCCATGACTCCATATAATCATCTTGGTTCTCTTTCTACCTCTTTGACAAATGTATTATTTCCCTTTTGCTGAGTTTTCTTTCTTTGGAGAACTTCCGTTTTCTCAAACTCAGTTTTTATTTTAGTTTTGATAAACTTACAAGTTATTTCTAATTCCAGCTGTCTTGATTGTTTTTGAAATCTCTTCTCTCATAGCCTTGCTTATTTTTCTAGGCTCATTTCACATGCAGTAACTTTTTCTTGCCTTAAGTCGTAGTCATTTATGTAATAGAGAGATGATGGTTTACTTTGTGTATAAACTGTAGTAACTAGCCCATCTGCATGGGCCAGTATGTCATGGGTGACTTGACACTTCTTGCACATTGACTATGATAGAGGTGGGAGATACTCCATACATTTATAAACTCTCTGAATCAAACCGTTTTATTTTGAAGCAATATCTATTAACCTTTCCTTTTTATCTATCATCTTTAATAATTTGTTACAGACATGTGAAATATGTTTTACCCTAAGAAGATGAGAGTTGAAACCTTGAGTTGAATGTGTATGTCTGTCTTCCTGGTAATGCAGGGAATAGGAAGAACAGACAGGATGACTGGAGGAGGTTGTGACACATCTGAATTAAAGTAGTAGTACCTTTCTCCTTAGCAGTTAGAAATGACATAAAACACACTGATTTTTCTTGTGACTGATTAAATGAGTCACACTAGTTTATATTCATATCATATATGTATAGCGTTTCAGAATAAAACTCTTAGACATGTTTCAAAGGGAAGATGGAGCATTTGTTAAAATCCTGGTTCCTCACTGGGAAGTTGGAAAGGCCAGAATTGGAACCAGCAGTGAATCTAAGAGGCAGAACTAGACCAGGGACCAAGTGTCAAGTTGTTGTAAGAACTGACAGTAGTGGTCAGGCTGGTGGGGGTAGGTCAGGCATAGGAGATGCTTGGAAGCTGGAGGGAAAAAACAAAACAAAAAACACCAAGCCCAGGACTCATATAAGTCCTGTGAGCAGCTGAGTCATTGAGCACACAGATAACAAACGTCAAACAGAAGAAACCAGAAGCTTGATACACCACCTAGATGGCTAAGGAAATCATGATACTTCTTTCTTGTTCTAGAGCCCACCCTAATGAGTGGATAGCCCACAAGCTCATAGCTAGACTCAGTGACCAGTACTAAGGAAGATGGTGGGAAGCTGACTAGTGTGGAGGTGAATGACGTCAGAGAGAAGATAGATCTGAAGGGGATTATTGATGAGATCGTTATGAAGGGCATGCTGAAACGTCTCATATTAATAGTCCAGATCTAGATAAAAGGGAATGTAGAAGTAGCTCAGACTTCAGTAACTGATGTTTCTTATATTATATATTTATGCATTCACTCATTTATATCAACATTCCTATCCCATCTTAATGCACGTTAGTTTTTTTGTCTTTATGTCCCTCTGTCACCCATGTCTATGACCCATTTCTTAATTTGTTACATTTGAATAAAACATTGTCTTTCAAACAACAAAGAAGTAGCACAGATTGACCACAGTATTCAGTAAGATTTAATTCCTCTTTTTGCCACAGTATAAAGAGTAGTCACTCATTGAGGTCTACGAATAGTTCTATATTGAACCAATACATTTTCCTATACATATACCTATTTATCCTTTCATATTTTACCAAATATTTACTGAGCTCCTAGTTAGATAATAAACTACCTGGTCACTGGTCAGTTACTATTTATTGAATATATTTGGTGTCCCTAGCGCCATTCAGATATATTTTTTACTGCTAATGTCTGTCATTTATGTGTATGTTAATAGCCATTATAATTGTTGGGGGGCCAGAATGATCACTTTCTGATAGAAATTTTTAAAATAAGTTTTTACTTATTATAAAATTGATGATAATTGATATTTTTATTTGATTTTGATAATATTGATAATTGATTAAATGATCATTGTAGAAAACTGCAGAACACATGAACAAAATAAAAAGCACTTGTAAGACCACTTCCTAGAAATAACCACTGTTAACATTTGGGCATATTTCTTTTTTTTTAAACCCCAATAATGACTACATGGGGCATATTTCTTTATGTGTGCACTCTTATGTATATACACACACTCTCTCTCTCTCTCTCTTTCTGCATTTTCTCAAAATAGCAGTGATATATCTCTGACTTCATGCTGGATGGCTCAGATGCCAAACATTTATTTCTCACAGTTCTAGAGGTTGGGAAGTCCAAGATACAAGGTTCCAGCAGAGGCAGTGTCTGGTGAGGACCCTTTTTCCTGGTTTTGGATGGCTGTCTTTCTGCTCTGTCCTCATGCAGAGAAAAGAGCAAGAATTTCCTGTTTCTTTCTTTTCTTATAAGGGGGTTAATCCCATCATGTGGGGGCCCACTCTGTTGGCCTCATTTAATTCTGATTACTTCCCTAATGTTCCACCTTCAGATATTATCATTTTGGAAATGAGGGCTTCAGCATATGAAGCCCTAATATTGTTAAAGGGGGGATACAAACATTGAATTCATAGCAGTGGTTGCATATAGTTTTGTGTTCTGGTTATTTTATTTATTGTTAATCACGTCATGAGCATCTTACCCCATCCTTTCTTTAATGACTATGTAATATTCTACTCAATCCTGAGTTGAAACAGAGTTTCTTAAAACCAGAGTTTAAAATGTATATGACTCAGTTCTGAGTAGAATATTACATAGGATCTTATTTTGGATCTTTTGGCCTTTAGGTTGTTTATAGTATTTTGCAGTTGTAAAATGACTTTCAGATAGCTGTCTTAAGCATATTTGTCTGCCTCTAATTATTTTCTTCTAGGTTTGTAGAAGTGTAATTAATAGTTAAAACATACTTGGCATACCTCCAGAAGCCAGGGCCGCTTGGTAGTTTATGATTGCACTGGGTTCTCAGGGTTAACTCTATAATAAACAATGAAGAGAAGAGGGACAGAACTGCCAACTAGAAGTAAACAGGCTCGTCATCTGGTGACCTGAGTGACTCTGAATGCTTGTTGAGTCCTACCTAGTTGGCCATCTAATTTGGTTCCCATGTTTGAGAGAAGAGGATGAATTTATGGTAAGTAATGTATGCCATAGCTATATGTGCTCTGTGCTTAGTGCTTAGAGGGCTTTTGTGTGTTTTTATATGTGTGAAGATGAGAAAAACTGTCAACACTAACTCTATAGTGTCTTGTCAATGAAATAGTATTGACTATTGCTACTTAACTGGCTGTTCTAAAAAAGAAAAATTCAATTTTGCGCTTAATATTTCAGTTTTGCATTTAGCCTTTCAGGTTGAAACTTCCTTAAAACTTTTCAATTTTTGCTAGCTAAATTAGATTTAGTGCTTTCTTGAAAAAAAAATAAAAAAAAAAAAATCCAGTCCTAGATTAGTGGTTGCCAAGAGCTGGGGAGGAGAGGGCAGAGAGGTGATACGGGTATGACTATGAAAGGAAAACCCCTGGGAATGGATGTGGATTTGGAAGTGTTCTGTAACTTCACTGTGGCAGCTCCCTGAACCTGCACATGTGACAAAGTAGCATAGTATTAGGTCCACAAGAGAAATGAGCACAAGTAAAACTAGGAAAGTCTGAGTTAGATTGGTAGATTGTTTCCACATTGATATCCTGGCTATGATATGCTATAGTTTTGCAAGATGTTACCTTTTGGAGGAAACTGGATAAGGGTGCAGTGGTGACTGGCTGTATTATTTCTTACAATTTCTGTGATTCTACAATGGTCTTAATAAAAATTTCAATACAGATTTTTTTTCTGGCTCTAAAAATGGTAATATTCAATAGTGGTGTTTTTTGTTCAATGATACATTTGAAATCAGATTTATATTCACAAGCACTGTGTTCAGTGTTTTTTTTTTAAATCTCACTAAATTATGAAATTAATTTTCTTTTTTTCCTCTCCTTTAGCCATGAAGACTTTGAATTTATTTCAGGAACACGAATGCGCAAACTTGCCCGAGAAGGCCAGAAACCACCTGAAGGTTTCATGGCTCCCAAGGCTTGGACTGTGCTGATGGAATACTACAAATCCTTGGAGAAAGCTTAGGCTGTTAACCCAGTCACTCCACTTTTGACACATTTCTAGTAACAAGGGGACCACATAGTCTCTGTTGGCTTTTTTTGTGCTGTCTGTCTGGACATGCTTCCTAAAAGCTGACCATTTTCTTGCATCAGTTTTGGTCTGCCTTATAAGTTTTGTTTTGAACGAGTATAACACACTGATGGTTTTAATGTATCTTTTCCACTTATAGTTATATTCCTATAATACAATTTTAAAGTTTTGTCTTTTTATATTTATGCTCCTGTCTCATTATGTTTTCAAGCTGTTACATTAGTTGTAACCAGTAGTACACACATTGAATCTTGCTTTTTTCCTTTTGAAAAAAGAAAAAATTACCAAACAATAAACTTGGCTAGACCTTATTTTGGGAATTTTACAAGACATCTGTAGCAATTAGATTTTTTTTTTCTACATTAAAAATAGAAACTGCTTCCTTTCTTCTTTCTAGTCAGCTATTGATCTTTTCAACTGTTATAATCTAAAGTATTCTTATGATCTGTGTAAGCTCTAAATGGACTTCTTTACTCAATAAAATTAATTTTTTGGCTTCTTATTTATGTGATACATTTTATATTGCTTTGTTTCCACATACCCTTTCCTCCTTGTGAAAAAGTTTCTGATGGAAGAGGGAAAATGCAGGCATCTTTTATTACTGGAATCCAATACTTAGTTTCTTACACTGTATTACAATGAAATCTTTGATAGCAGGAGCCTATGTTCCATCATGTTTAAGTAGGAAAATAATAAGGCATTCTTAGTCCATCCCAAAAAAAGTTTCTTCAAATAAATTTTTAATGTGCTTAAATACCTATGTAACAATTTGCAAGGAATTTGAACATAGATGGGTACATACTGCTTTAGTTAGGAAAAACCAGCGTATGCTGTAGAAACACATCTCTAAATTTGTGCCATTTGATCCATCCAGGTTGATAGCAAGGTTCTGTTCACCTTAGTCATCCAGGGTGATGTTCTCCCACCCTATGTTCCTATGTCAGTAATAGGTTTTAGAGGGAAAGAGCATAAAAATTACACACCAACTCTTAAGTGTTTTGTCTCAGAAGTGACACACATCACCTGCTAGTTCATTGGGCAAAAAAGGTCACACAGCCCCACTCACATGTAAGGAGGGTTAGGAAATGCAGACTTCTATGGGTATAGGAAGGCAAGTAGACTGGGAATATTGGTGACCGTGAGTTGTAAGTACCGAAGTTGCCATTCTGTTCTCTATGTTGGAACTGGGTTGTAGGGATACGTTTCTTGTATTAGTCCATTTTCATGCTGCTGATAAAGACATACCTGAGACTGGGAAGAAAAAAAAGGTTTAATTGGACTTACAGTTTCACATGGTTGGGGAGGCCTCAGAATCATGGCAGGAGGTAAAAGGAGCTTCTTACATGGCAGCTGCAAGAGAAAATGAGGAAGATCCCAAAGTGGAAACCCCCTGATAAAACCATCAGATCTTGAGACTTATTAACTACCATGAGAAAAGTATAGGGGAAGCCGCTCCCATGATTTCAATTATCTCTCACCAGGTCTCTGGTGGGAATTACGAGAGTACAATTCAAGATGAGATTTGGGTGGAGACACAGAGGCAAACAGTATGTCCAAATCTCCTGTCCTCACATTTCAAAACCAATCATGTCTTCCCAACAGTCCCCCAGTCTTATTTCAGCATGAACTCAGAAGTCCACAGTCCAAAGTTTCATCTGAGACAAGACAAGTTCCTTCCACCTATGAGCCTGTAAAATCAAAAGAAAGATAGTTACTTCCTAGATACAGTGGGCGTATAGGTATTGGGTAAATACAGGCATCACAAATGGGAGAAATTGGCCAAAATAAAGGGGTCGCAGGGCTCGTGCAAAAATCCAGTGGGCAGTCAAACTTTAAAGCTCCAAAATCATCTCCTTTGAGATCACATCTGGGTCACGCTGATGCAAGAGGTAGTTTCTCATAGTCTTCGGTAGCTCCACCCCTGTGGCTCTGCAGGGTAACCACACCTGGCTGCTTTCATGGGCTGGTGTTAGAGTGTCTGTGTCTTTTCCAGGTGCACAGTGCAAGTTGGTGAATCTACCATTCTGGGATCTGGA